TTCCGCGGTAGATAGATTGTTGTTGTTTATTTATCGTGGGTACCCTTATTTAGATACGAGTATAGGAGAAATACATCATATAGGGAGTGAAGAGAAGCGCGCATATAATTTTTGTCACTTTCAATTTAGTTCAACCTTAAGTGAGCAATCGTTGGAGTAAGGGCAGCGACAAGAGCTAAATTGTGAAAAACACCCTCTCGGCAGAACACACCTACGCAATTAATTGCTCTCCCAACCCTATTGTGGACGCCGACCGTAACAGTCTAGTATTTTTTATCTATTTATTCATTATTAATTTTGGAGACTTGAAAGAATTTAAATATGTAAATGCGGTTTAAAGGTTTTGCATGGTGACGGAATTTACATACAACATAATGATTGTGTGATCAGTTATTATCTATATATAATTTAAAAGGTTGGATGCTGCAAGGTGGACTGACATTGCATATTCGTGTTACAAAATTATCCAATAGATGACCATCACATGTTCATCATTTCTTTGTTTACAACTGCCCAACACTTTTATTATTATGATATGGATAACATTAGTGAAATAAAGTATAAAAGTAAATATAAATAACCACACTGTCAACGAAGTGACAGGTTATACACTAATAATAATAAAAAACGTTTTACATCATAGTACCATGGTCTTTTACATTCATGAGCTTTAGTCTGAGAAATATGGTACTATTGCTGGTTCTCTCAAACAGCTGAAGGCACTCAAACAATCAGTACACTGCTTTGGCACTCAAGAGAAGAATTCAGAAATGACATAGCAAGCCTGCTTCAGGGAAATTCAGTTAATGGCTCAATCCTTCCAGATTAAGATGTCTATTATGGCAAGTTAGATGGCTCTGAGGCTATCTCACCAAGGATGAAAGGTCTAACATGGAAGATGGAGGCATCTTATGCATGCCAAATAAAGAAGTGGAAGCACAATGGCTAAGATTGTTACAAGGCTACAGTTCTAAGACTATCCATTTACTTGTGAATAAGTGGCTAGCTGGCAGGCTTTCAGATTTTATAGATGGACTTATTATGAGATTTGTTGAGCAAACATTGTCATTCCATGACCTTCCAGATAACAAGTAGAGTCAAACTATCATCTCCTCATGGTAGGACTCCTTACTCCAGTGAGGGATTATGGCCATGAATGTAAGTCAAACAGAGAGGAGGGTAATTATAATGGACAATTTGATTTTAAACTCATTCTAACAGAAAAGGCAACAACAATTCAAACAGCAGTGATTATGGAGTTCAAAATACTTAAGTCAAAGAATAAAGATGATGAGAAATTTGAGCAAGAAGATCTCCAGAAAATGGCTGTGGATGGACTTCAGCAGATAGACAAAAATCATGATACAGGACTTTCTTCTTCATCTGCTAACATAATTGTAATTTTAAGTGTACACAATGTCAAATTGGGGGTTTTGAGACAAAAAATCAATAGTGATATTAATGCGTATAGCTCTCTAGAGCCTTAAATCCATAACTGTTTTGCTATGACGTGCATTTTGTTTTTTACGCGTCATTTTCGACTCATTTTCGTTAGATTTTGGTGCGTATAGCTCTCTAGAGCCTTAAATCCATAACCGTTTTGCTATGATGTGCGTTTTGCATTTGCCTCGTCATTCGAGTGACGTGCATTTTGTTTTTTACGCGTCATTTTCGGCTCATTTTCGTTAGATTTTGGTACCAAAAAAATTATATCAAGGTACCAATATTTTCTGCTATGCTATTGCTAATAAAAGCCTATCAAATCTTATTACATACATGAGGGAAATTAGGACAAAATCGATATTATGGTACCAAAATTCCAAGTATAGGGTACCAAAATTTAATATCATGGTACCAAAAATCCAAACATAGGATTCCCAACTAGTCTCAAATCCGATATCATGGTACCAAAAATTGTCCTTGGTTTTTAATGCTCTAGATCAAGTTCCAGATATACAAAATATAAAGATTGCCATCATGGTACCAAAAACTGACTAACTTCCTGATATTTCTAGGTATATGATATTTTCAATAATGTCTTGAAATATAGTAACCTCTAATATGTAATGGACAACGTCCAGAACTTGAGCCTGTAGGTTTACCACATTCAGAACATGGAACACGTTTTTTAGCTTTATAGTGTAATCCACATCCTTCAGGACGCATACAGGGTTTATTGCAAACATCACCAGAATTATGAATAAAGGGGCAAAGATACTCACCGATCATTTTTGATTATATGAAATAATTATTTAAAGAAAAGATTTTGTATAAGTAATATATAAAAGTTTCGGTACCCCAACATGTCAGATGCTTATCCAGAATATATCGAAGAATTTAGTATTGAGATAGCTGATTACAATCCAATTGGTCCAACAGGCCGTATGCCTTTACCAGAAACAATACCAAAACGTAATAATGGTATAATAAATATTCAAAATGATGATTGACTGGTGTTTTGGATGGTGTGTCTTAGGAGCATTACATCCAGTTAAAGTTCATCCAGAAAGAAATCCACATCAGCTATATGCAAAATATGTAGGGGAACTAAATATGGAGGATATCCCCATTCCAGTACCAGTTTCTACACCAGTTTATCAAAAATTTGAAGAGAATAACCCAGAAATTAGCTTATGTGTCTATGAATGGCACAATCAAAATAAATGTCTTAACTTTCGTTATCTCTCAGAAAGAAGAGATATGGAATTCAAACAAGTAAATCTTTTAGTAATAACAGAGGAGGATAGAAGCCATTACTGTATAATCAAAGATTTACACAAACTAGTATATAATCATAGTAAACATAAAGGAAGAAAATACCTTTGCCAATATTGTCTTCATGTATATTCAGATGAAAAAAGATTTAACAAGCATAAAGCAGATACAAAAAAATGTTTAGGAGTAAATAACGCCCCCCAGTTACCAAAAGTTCCTACAGTAGAAGAATGTATAAAAATATTTAATAATCATAAATGCATGCAACCAAATCCATATCGTATATTTTGGGATCTTGAATGTTTAACAGAACAGTTAACTCCAGAAGAGAATGCGCAATTAACACGTACTGAAAAACTCCAAAGGCATAGACCTTGTGGCTTTTCTTATGTAGTGGTGCGAATGGATAGTTTTGGTAAGTATGAAATAACGAGCCATTATTTGTATAGAGGACCAAATGCTTTAGAAAAATTTGTCGACAAGCTTGAAGAAGAGCTTGCAGAAATTCAAGCCGATTTATCATCACCTGCAGAAATAATTATGGAACCAGGAGACCAGCAGCAATTTCCATGCAATTAAACATTACATAAAAATTGTAACAAAACACTTTAATAAAAGTGGACACTGTCTCGTTATTACCAACAGAAGCCTAAACTAATAATTGAGAAAAACGAACATTTATGTATGAGATATGGGAGGCATGGTTTAATTTAAAAACATGAGGGAATAGTTAATAGTTTGAATTCCATTATCCATTAGAAATCAGAACAAAGGTTTTGGTGTAAAATTTTAACCCGCGTTTATGCAATTTCAAATATCAAAAATAACATTTATTATCAAAATATTACTCCAAATTTATAACATACAAATAGACTGTATTATTATGCTTTGGCTTGACAGATTACTAAATATAATAATTAACAATAAATCAATGTCTAGAAACTGAAAACACCTCCCAATCAGCCCAGATAAAATGATCTGATGAAGATCTTACTGGAACTTGATATGCTTTTTTTTTAGCATAAAGTTTGTTACTATCATTACCAAAAGATAAATCACAACCATTTCCAAATCTAGGAAAAAAGCTATTACTGTCATCAATAGCACGCTCAATTCTGTCAACAAAACTTACTATGCTCTTATCTATACTTTTATTTAATGCAAATATAAAACTTTCTTTAGTCAAACCCCAACCAGTTTTGGAACCCCATGCAATTGGGTTATACCCACCAAGTATTTCTTCAGTACCTAACACTTTTCCAACAGTGATTGTGGGTCCTTTGTCATTACACAATTCTCTAAATTTGGCGACTGTACCACCATCTCGACTTTTTCGATAAAGTAGAGTAAACTTGTGCCCACCACTTTGCTTCACAGAGGTTGCTTGATTTTCTTGAATTTGCCTTGTTATTGTTGATTCCACGATCTTTGAAGAGATCCACTCAACTTGTTTTTTGTTAAGAAAAAGTGAATCAATACAATATCTTTGTCCAGTTCTTGGTGGCAGCACTTTAGCATTTGGTATATATGCAGAATCTCTTTTTATGTGATAGGTAAGTACATCATGACGTAATGTTTTTGGTAATAGATCATCAAATAAGAGAAATATTTCCGCAGACATGTAAAAGAATCTTATATGAGGTATACAATCTGCTATAATATCTTTGATTATGTTAATATCATTGGATGACCAATTAGCTAGGTCAATTCCAAGTTCTAGTTCAGGCACTTGTTTAGTGGCCCATTGCACGACTGATAACCAAATATCATCTTCATCCATATTAAGGTCATCATTCTTGAGAAGACTGATCAAGGTCTTCTTTGGTAAAGTTGCAAGATCATCCGATTTAAAGACAATATCGGGGTGTGAAATGATAAGCCGATTGCAATATCTCAGAAGCCTGTTCAAAGGGGTAACGGCAAGAGCATACTTGTGAACCGTGAGAATGTTATGCTGAATCCAGTCCTTTTGCTTATTTATCAAATAGGCTTCAACCGCAGTGAGGAGGTCAAGTAGTTCAAACTTGATAACACAATCCATAAGGCTAATCCAGTCCACATGTCTGCATGAATCAGAGGAAATTTTCCCAGTATAAATAAACCTACAACATATAATAATAAAGCGTTTACGCGGTGAGCCTTAGTATTGACAAGTTCAGACAGTAAGTTTTTTACCTGAGTATAATTTCGAAAACTTCGGGCGGCACATCTTCTAATACTAATGTCATATTACTTTGAATTTCTTCAGATGTCTCTGTATTTCCGGTTAAGCTGTTCTCAAGGAATGCACTTCGTGTGCATAATACTAGTGTGTGAGCGAGGAATATCTTATTATTTGGTTCCTTGCCGACATGTATTGAAACATCTGCATATTTGCCGTTTTCGTAAAGCTTCTCATAATCTGACGAAAGGCCCGAGGACAAATCAACTACGACATTCATTGTCATGTAAAATTTAAAGAGTGAGTTTGTTTCTTTGATATTATTTCACTGATAGTATGTATAGTGATCATATTGTTGCTACTCTATCTGTTTAGTACATTTTATTGCCATCTCCTCATGTACATATCTTTCCTTTTTACGTTTTCTTTACTATTTGAGTTCTTCATTTCCTAAAATTGCTTTCGCACTAACCTTTCAAGTACTCATTCTCCGTAGTTTAATATAGATTCTATCCGAACTGCGTTTATCATATACTATGTGATTATACGCATAATGCATATGGAAGGAAATGCATAAGACTCCGTAAAGAAATGTCCAACCCTTTTATAATCGTAGTCTTTTAGTTTTATTTACTCAGTTATGAGAAATATCGTTGACCCTGTCACTATCAATTCTCATAATTATAATTAATTCTCTACTTATACTCTGTGCTGCTATTCATTCATATCGTTGTGTAGCATACAATCAAAGAAAACGAGCATACCTCCATCACTTTTCCAATTCCACGCACGTACGTGTGTTCTTCCTATTACCCATAAATAGGTACTCCGCCTATTATCTCATTTAATTGGATCGTCATACCGATCCCAAATTTTGTATTCATCGGTGTTTGTATCCGCCTGATCGTTCCAGCAGTTGCACCGAGATGTCGTACCGTCCTTCCTTATTTACTGAATTCCATCTGCTCTTTGCTTCTGGTTGCTTAATTGTATAAGCCTGATTTTTTGTTATACACGTAATTAGTAAACTTGTGTTCATCCAAACGTAATTACACTAACCCACTTTTGTTACGCACACGTGAACTTATTTATTTCCCTTCACACATATATGTAGACCCTTTCTCGCATTGTCATTTCTATCATAATACCTTTTCTCTTAATATTAACTGTAACTTAATCTCCTTCTTTTACAAATAACAATGCAATGTTAATTTTCTTCAAGCTGGCGAATCAGAGTCTTCTATTGCGCTAGGTTACACATAATCATTGCTCCGTTTCCGGACGCAATCTTACCTGTCTGTTCTTATAGTTCATGCCTGTTATTCCACATATATCGCCATATGCTTACGATTCCACAATTATTATGTTGTTACAACAAATCAAAAATGACCGTTTACGATGAGGGTGTAAATCAAATCCAACAAAACATACTACACGATCGCTAAATACTACTCCGTTTTACTGACCCGAACCAGATTTTATTGTTTCCCGATTTATTTCCATATGACTTGTTTAATTGTCTAGATTTACCTAGCAAAGATAGATGCATTAACATATGGCAAATGCAATTATTGACTATGATCTGCGCTTCGGTCTTTATCTTGTGTGGGCGATGTGGTTGCCATACAATGATTGCCACAGAAGCCATTATACTCACTCATAATAGCAACTCCATTATTTTTGGTAGAACTGTATTTTTGACGTGACAAAATGTATTACAATACGAATAATATAATATGTACATAAATTTATCTTGATTCTGATCTCATAACAATAATCTTCAATATCATGCAATTAGTTTTACATTTACAATTTTCGCGTGCGTGCCGTGTATCTCTCCGCTCGCAACATTAGTATTATTTGTTTTTGTAGCTTAAGTTAACTGTATCCGGAAATTAAGTAATAATGGTAAACTTTCATAACAATAGTGACTATACGTATTTTGGACAAATGAACATCTATGCTTCTTTTCTCCTATTACGTGTAGCTAATGTGTACACTCCCCCCCCCCCCAAAAAAAAACATCTACCTAATCACCAACAATAAGTCTTACAACGTATCCACTAATGTACTAGCACAAATAAGGTTTTTTTGCAAAGGTGTTGATGTAATTTACATAAGTTTCTATAAATAACATTATATTTTGCCATTCGAATTATTGCAAGACTACCGATATCAAACATTGCAACCGAGTAATTTTCATAGGGAAAATGAAAATCGTGCACCCGCACGGCCGTGCATCCCTAATTATTACGTAATAAAATTTTTAATGCAGCCA